TCATTAGTGATCTCCCATCCAAGTATTAACCAACATTGACTGATCCTGTTTAATAATAATAATAATAATTTATTTCTTATATCCCGCCTTTTGCCTAAGCAATCAAGGCGGCTTACAAATATAAGATACAGATTAAAAACATACATTGCAACAATAATAGTAATACAATACCCCCCTTAAAAGACAAAATACAATATTAAAATGAACATAAGATTAAAACAACATGCATGATGGTGAATGGAGGGAGGGCCTCCAAGATCAGAAAGGATCTGGAGTATAGGGTTCTAGGATCACTTTTTTGTGTGCCTTCAAGCCCTTTCCAATTTATATGCCCTAAGATGACCCTATCATTGGCAAGATTTGTTCAGAGAGGGTTTGCCATTGCCTTTCCCTGAGGCTGAGAGAGTGTGGCTTGCCCAAGGTCACTCTGGGTTTCCATGGCAGAGAAGGGATTTGAACCAGGAAGTCCTGGTAGTGCAAAGTGGTTAAATACCTGTACTGCAACCACTCACTCACAAACCACAAGGTTGTGAGTTCAATACCAGCCAGGGGCTCCAGGTCGACTCAGCCTGGCATCCTTCTGTAGGTCGCTAAAATAAGTACCCAGCTTGTTGGGGGCAATTAGCTTAAACCACTGAGTACTTTGATAAGCAGTAGAGAAATGTACTTGCTGTTGCTATTGAACCCTGGTGTCCCACACTGCATTGTTTCACACCACTTTAACTGCTATGACTCTATCCTACACAATCCTGGGATTTGTAGTTTGGTTGAGGGATTCAGCCCGGCCTGTCAGTGTCATAGAGCTCTGGTGCTTCGTTGTTGTATTGCTTCTAGCTGTTTTTGACTTAGGCCCTAGGGCGACCCTATCAATGGGTTTTCTTGGCAAGATTTGTCCAGAAGTTTGCCACTGCCTCCCTTTGAGGCTGAGAGTGTGTGACTTGCCCGAGGTCGGTAGGTTTCCATGGCCGGCATATCTATGTTGTTTGTTGTTGTGTGCCTCCAAGTCGTTTCTGACTTATGGCGACCCTAAATCAAAGCTATCTTGGAGTTTTCTTGGCAAGTTTCTTCAGAAGGGGTGTGTGTGTGTGCCATTGCCAAACTCTGAGGCTGAGAGAGTGTGACCCAGGGCAAGCGGGAGGAGGAAGTCGAACCCTGGAACCAGAGTCGTAGTCCGAACCTCAAACCACTACTACACCACACCGACTATAGTGCCTCAGCAAACTACAAATCCCAGGCTCCTGTAGGACGGAAGCAAGGCGGTGTCAAGCTGCTTTAACTTTGCAGTGGGGGGAATCACTTCTCTTTTTGTTTTAAATCTCCCACAAGCACCTGGGAAGCTTTTTTTTAAAAAAAGTGACTTATTAACGTCGACAAATGAGTGCAAGAGCCCTATATCGCTCTTTCTCCTCAGGAACGAGGCCCCGCCCTTTTTTTTTTCTCCGCGGCCGACCGTTAGAAAAAGCCGTCGCGAGCTCCGCGTCGTCCAATCAAAGAGCCGCAACGCTTTCCTTTCGCGTCGACCAATGGAAAGCCGCCGGCGTTCAACCCTCCCCTCCCCTCCCCTCCCCAATAACCCCGCCCTTTTCTTAAACGAACTCTGGAGCGCGGGGTTTGTTTCCCAAGAAGCGTCAGGTAAGAAAGGAAAGGGAGGGGGGGCGCATGCGCAGTCGTTCGGCGAAAGAGCGGCGAGGGGCGGCCGAGGCATCTCCTTCCTCCCTGAAGACTTCGGCGCCTACGGGGTCTCCCTGCCGCCTCTTTTTCAAAGGGCGCCTCGCGCATTCATAACGAGCCATTGGAGGCTCGCGCCCCGCTTCCGCTCCGCCTTGGCTCCGTAAGCGTTCGTTGTTTTTTGTCTGAAAGCGGCCGTTTTGAGTTGAGCCGAGGGTGGTGGGTTCAAGTTCTCCGTTCTTGTACCTTAGGGACCGATGCATCTTCGTTGTTGTCTGCCTTCAAGCTGTTTCCGACTTATGGCGACCCTAAAGCCATCTATCATGTTTTTTTTTTTTGCTTGGAAGCTTTTGTTCAGAGGAGGGGGTTTGCCATTGCCGTCCTCTGAGGCTGAGAGAGTGTGACTTGACTAAGGTCACTCAGTGGGTTTATATGGCTGAGCCAGGATTCAAATCCTAGTCCAATGTTCCCATCCGCTACCTACACCACGCTGGCCCTGTCATCTACATTGTAGAAATAATGCAGTTTAACCCCAGTTTTGACTGCCGTGGCTCCATCCTGACTACGGTTTGTAGTTTGGTGAGGCACCACAACTCTCTCTGGCAGCGAAAGCAAGGACCTTGTAAAACTACAACTCCCAAGATTCCTTAGGATGGAGCTGCAGCTCTTAAAAATGGTCTCAAACGGGGGACGTACAAATAAATGACAATACTTGCCCATAGGGAAAGATTAGAGGATATTTGCCCATAGGGATAATAGGGTAATACTTGCCCATAGGGACACATAGAAGAATACTTGCCTATAGGTCCTGCCACCGCTGCTGCCACCTGCCATGATGATATTGATTATTGTTGTTATTACTTGTCCTTGGGGTTTTCTTGGCAAAATCTCCACAGGGGTTTTGCCATGGCTTTTCTGGGGCTGAGAGAGCATGCATTTTTAAAAAAAAATTATTTTTAAAATAATAATAATAATAATAATTATTATTATTATTATTTTTGGTGCTTCGGCCCCTCAATTGTCTGAGGGACAGCAACCCGGCCCCGGCTCAAAAAGGTTGCCTACCCCTGATATAGGGGAATACTTGTCCATAGGGATACATAGAAGAATACTTGCCTATAGGCAAGCAATATCCAATGTTTCCCTATGGGCAAGTATTCCCCTATGTCTCCCTATGGGTAAGTATTCCCTTATGCCTTATGTCTTGCCCAATACTTGCCCATAGGGAAAGATTGGAGGATATTTGCCCATAGAGATAACATAGAGGAATACTTGCCTATAGGCAAACAGTCTCCCATGTTTCCCCATGGGCAAATAAGTTCTTGTTGGGATGCAAATGGATTTAAAATTTCCTGGACTTTGCAAATCCCCCTATAGCCACATGGCCAGAAGGAGGAGGATCCTGCCTGCAAAAGATATCCTCCCCACCATCCTAACTAAATGGTGAAACAACATGTAATAATAATAATAATAATAATAATAATAATAATAATAATAATAATAAAATTTATTTATATCCCACCCTTTGGGGACCCAATCCAGGCGGCTTACAACAATAAAATCACATGAAATATCCCAAAAACAATCCCCTAACATCTCCAGTTGTTTTTCTCCTGTTTGGTTTGTGACATCTTGCCTGATGAAGAAGCCCATGGAGCTTTGAAAGTTTGCAACAAGTGTATTGTGCACTTTGGTTGGCCAATCAAGGTATCACTGATGGATTTTCTAATGCCTATGTTCCCCTATGTTATTCCTCAGTATTCCCCAATGTCTCCCTATGGGCAAGTCCCCTATGCCCTATGTTTCCCTATGAGCAAGTATGGTTTCCCTATGGGTAAGTTTGTTGTTAACTGCCCTCAAGTTGATCTTGACTCATGGTGACCCGACGGATGAGACATCTCCAAGACCCTCTGCTTAAATCCTGCAACCCCTTAATACCCTTAATAAAGTCCATCCCTCTAGCACAGGGGTAGGCAACCTTTCCCCTTTAAGGGCCGAGGGACTTCAGCTCCCAGAAGCCTCAGCCACGTTGGCCAATAGTCCCATGTTGGCCAATAGCTCCTGGGATTCTGGGAGCTGAAGTCCCTCGGCCCTTAAAGGGGAAAGGTTGCCTACCCCTACTCTAGCATGTGGCCTTCCTCTCTTCCTACTTCCCTCCACCATCCCCAGCATTATTGTCTTTTCCATTGAGTCATGCCTTCTCATGATGTGTCTGAAGTACAACAGCCTCTGTTTGGTCATCTTGGCTTCCTGTGTTGGTGTGCTGTCAATTTTTTCCTGTACTACTTCATAGAATCTATCAATTTCTTCCTGTTTTGCCTCTGTGGTTGGTGCATATACTTGAATTATGGTGATATTCTTAGGTTTTCCATGGAGCCTTACTGAAATGATTTGGTCTGATTTTACATTGTATCCTTTGACTGCTTTTGCCACATTTTTTCTTAGTATGAAAGCCACCCCATTTC